CATAACACACTCGAGAATTCGGTGGAGATGATCCAGGATACGAAATCGCAAGAAAAAGGCTTGGACTATCCATGCGTGCCTCAAACCCAAATATGTTTCCCACGCCACATTCAGGCTCTACGACCACTGTATTAACTTGGACAGCTTTACAGTTCGGCTCCAGCCCACATTGGGTCTCAACCACTACGGTGTCAGAGTATGCCAGCTCATCATCTTCTTCCTCAACCTCCTTAGGCATGTCATCTGCTTCATTTCCAGCACCACACCCAGCTATTGGTTCGTGATTAACAGTTCCATTAGAGCTATGGACATCCTCAACCACACTAAGTATCGAACTGTCATTATCAAACATGCTAACTGGTTGCTCTTCGCACACCATAACAGGATATAACCTGCCTTTGCATTCCAGATTAATGGTTTTATTGATGAAGTCCATACACTGAGTTACAATTCTGACTCTTCCGTAACAGAAGGACTTGGGTTGGCAAATGTCTCCTTCCAATCGAATAACACTTCCCCAAATGTTGCCAATCTTACAGAAAGTGTTTCTATTCCACATGCTTAGGGGTATCCCATGGCATCTGAGCCACAGGCACCTCTCTTGTTCTGCACGAGCTCCTGGTTCCCACTCTTTAACAAACTCACACCATTGTCCACACCATTCTCTGACCAGTGATAGTTTTGCATCCTTAGCTTCTTTGGATTTAAAGGTGACCACCACGTCTCTGCCTCCTCCACGCCTGACCATTACCTCCTCAATTCCTTTCTCCTTAAAAATCTTCTCAATGCCATGTATAGAGTATTCTTCTTTGAATCTCAAGATCACACTCTCGTGCAGCCAACCATGACCGGCTTCATCTACCATGATAGTTCCTTCAACTTTCCCCGCAGCTCCTCTAACGTTTGTTTTGAGTATTTCAGCATATGACCTCTGTAAACCATGCTGATGGTGAACTTCTCTTCCACCTGCTTCGTTGATGCCTTTGTTCCCTGTAGTTTGGTTTCTATTCTGTGCTCCTTCCTTAAGTCTATCATACTCTGCCATTTTAACTTGAATCTCTCTGTCCTCGACCCATAACCCATTCGCTTTAGAAACTGCAACCCTCGCTGCCACTGAGCAGTCGAACCTGACAAAGCCAAACCTGGTATTTGTGAACTTCCTCCTCTTCTGCGGGATAAATACATCTTTCACTATTCCAAACTTTGTAAACAATTTGAACAATGTTTTTGGGTCCATACTGGAAGGCAGACTATCCACAAACACAGTGAACAATTCAGTCCTTGGCTCCTTGCTCCCTGTACCTTTCCCTCTTCTCTGCTTCATGACTGGAATCCACCCTCCTTGCTCCATTTTTGCCTACTTACTGATAATGTACACACAGTTAAGAAGGTGTACCGTATACACCCTTCTTATACATTTTTTGGGTGCACTTTACTCATTTTTGTAGTAAATGTCACGTATTTTTTTTGATAGAATTATGACGATTTGTGGTTAAAAAATGAAATTATGCATTTTGTGGTAATATTATGCATTTTTGACATAATATTTCACATTTTTTGGTTAGAAAACGATTTCATTAAAAATTTGTAACATTACTACAAAATGTGCAATTTCATTTTTAAACCATTAATTGTATTAATTTGATCAAAAAAAAGAAAAGAAAAAATACACAACATTTGCCATAACAATACATAACATATACATCATAAAAATTAATTGAGCCCAAATTATATTGTATTTAGACAGCTAAAAATTAATCCCCGAGCCTAGTTAACAATTAGGAGCTCAGTTAACAAATTTAAATCTTATTTTTAAATTTTTATAACTCAACTA